AGACTAGTACCGTAAGAACATCGTCGAAGTCAAAAAGCATGTGATAGGCGAATAAATAGCAGCTCTTCCGCCTTTTGCGTCCAACCTGATAACAAGCGACAACCCTCCGCCTCGTTCGCTTCAGTCGCTACGAGCCAATCTGTCTGTTCTGGCAATTGCGTGAGTAAAAATAAGCGACACTCTGCTTTGATCGAGATAGTGCTTTTGCTAATTTAATTTACGGCAGTGACTCTCCCTCTCCGCACTCCGACCCCGACATGACGTATTTGTTATTATAGAGACCTTCCCGAATACCATTCATGGCGCCATGGCCTCCAAGCTGAGCGAGGAGGAAGATGGACTCATCCCTAGCCGAAACACCAGCGACTTAGATATTCATACTGCTGATTCGCTCCGGCTATTATCTCGCTCACCCCATCCATATCACCGAAAGCGCCTGAAATGTGCCGACACACCGTCGGTGTTGACAGACCACAGCGATCGACCCTCTCGGAACTTGTCACAATGGGCCAAGACCTCCAGCGATAGCGGGACAGAAGCCGACGATGAGAGTACGGGTATTTTAAAAGGCCTGCCAGCCCCACCCCCACGGCCACGCAAAGGGCTTCGATCTAGCTGGGATGGCGTGGACGAGAGTGACTTGTGGTATCCGACATTGCGGACGTGGCCATCTTTCGCTCGGTCGACATCGTCGCGAAGTTCACGAAGGAGCTCGGGAGACGAACCACAAGCAGAAGTACTCAAGCTGAGAGACAAGGCCCGCAGAAAGGTTCAAATTGAGGTGTTCCGGAGGCTTTCAGAGACTGCATTGTTGCTCTCTGTAGGTGGTGTCGTCTTATGGCAAGACGGCGCCAGAGCGATTGTAGGGGCCTGGAGAAAAGGTTTGTGACTGACTCTTGTCTTATGTCGGTGCTAGGCGTGCCTTACTGATTTGGGATAGAGCTCCTTGCTCATACTCTCCTTGTGACTGTCCTCTACGCGGTATACCCTCTACACCAGACACGACGCCTACGGTTCTCCAAACTATTTTCCTTCACAGTTCCATCGAAATTTGAGCCTGCTCCTCTCCTCTATCCGATCTTGATACCGATCTTCGTCTCGTTGTCGTTGTCACACCATAGACCTCCGTTGATACTCCCCAACATCCTCCTCAGTCTCTCGTCGCTACCTGCCCCGGTCGTTCCTCTACACAGTTTGGTTAACGGTCACAGCATTCCTCATTGGTTCATTACCTTGATACCCATATTGGTTTCAGAGCATTGTTCCGCAGACAGCTCAACACCTACGCCTCTCTCTTTTCGTGGTCTTAATACGGAGCTATTGACTCTTGTTTTTCCTTTGCACCAAGCATTGATACCCACTCTAGATTTCCTGTTGACTACTAGTATCCTTCCAGCGGAATTGCAGCTTCTGGCGACCGCTTTGATTAATTTGTTTCTATTTGCGGCCTCCCCTCAAGCAGAGATTCTCAAGGCACTCCTTTGGCTCGGTGGTCTCTGCCTTTTCGCCTCTTGTCGGCATGTCCTTCGATGGGAGGTGGTTCTGGCGAGAATTCCCACCTGGAAATTCAGGCGAAGCCCCAGGTCATCGCGGTCATCGCGGTCACCGAAGAATATCTTGAATTTGATTGACCACAAGGTCTGCCAGAGGCTGAGTCGGACCGCTTCGTCCGAAGATGCCATGTCGGATAGCGATTACTCACCAGGCCGTTTGCTCAAATCACGCAAGTCTATGCAGGAAACTCGGAATAATGTCGCGATCAAAGAACCTATCTCCGCCGTGGACAAAGTGAGCACAGAGGAGATATTTGAGCGGCATATGCCTGCCATACACCGCCGGCGGCACACCATCTCAACTTTTGAGGAAGTTGTGCGCACTGAGCGAGTCCGGACGACCCCTAGTGGCAGGCGAAAGCGATCAATGGCCCCTGGGCTCTCGTCATTCCTCACGATGACTGTACCGCAGGCTCAAGTACGCAAGTGGCTCTATGCTCTCTACGTGTATGCTGCCGTACTAATTATAATCCTCGGTCCCATTCGAAAATACGTCGGCGAACACGCGTTAGGTGGAGAAGAGCCGTTTGGATGGGCCCTTGGCTATCTTCTCGGTAATATATCGTGGTTCAGGTTCTGGGTCATCATGTGGAACCTAGACCACTGGATATCTCTACCGGCGCGCTTGGACGAGGAGGGCCTGGACGCATATTGCTCGTTCGGCTTGGTTGAGCACATTCGTCAAAGTACTTTTGGCGAAGCGAATACGCGCCTGATCATCACTGCTTATTGCATCCTTGTGCTCCTGACAGGTATGGTTGTCGTCTTCAAGCTCAGGTCCGTCGCGGAAGTAGACACAAGACGCAAAGTCTTCCACGGCATGATGGTGTTGATGTTCCTCCCGACGGTCTATGTCGACCCGGCATTCTGTGCTCTGGCTCTCGCATTAGTCTTGGCGGTCTTTCTCCTCCTAGACCTCTTCCGAGCCTCGCAACTTCCGCCGATATCCCGGCCTTTGACGTATTTCCTGGCGCCCTACGTCGATGGTCGTGACCATCGGGGCCCGGTTATCATCTCTCATATCTTTCTTCTCATCGGATGCGCCATTCCTCTATGGCTTTCTCTGGCTGATGTCCCGCGGACGGGAGATAGTCCTTGGAGCGGATGGAATATCAGCTCAAGCGATGTCAGTATGGTCAGTGGTGTGATCTGCGTCGGCATGGGAGACGCAGCCGCCTCATTGATTGGCCGGCGATTCGGCCGGCGCAAGTGGTTCTGGGGAGGCGGGAAATCCATCGAGGGCAGCGTGGCCTTTGTCATCGCAGTATTCTGCGGGCTTTTGTTCGGGAGCATCTGGCTCGCGGTAGGACAATGGCCCACGAACAGATTGGAGGAGCCAGGGCAGTATTTTTGGCCGGTTACGGTTCTCAAAGCCATTCTGGCCGCTGGTGCGACCAGTGCTACCGAAGCGATTCTCACTGGATGCAATGATAATGTGGTCGTGCCGATTATACTGTGGTTGCTTGTCAGAGGGCTCGGTCTATGATTGACTACCGATTACCTGGTCTCGTCTGATCTTCAGCCATTCCTACGGAAGAGTGAGTTACAGGTCTGAGTGTCCGCGTATTATATCATCCTCTCGATTTCCATTGCTGGCAATTTGGCTTGCTGGAAGAGATCGCAGAGCCATCCAGTACTTGAAATGAGCCACAAGTCTACTGGATATGAAGCTACTGATGGATACGAATTTTCGTCTATTGATGTTATTAGGCATAATGCATGACTCTTGATTTGAAGCGCTTAGACGAGGCGCAATAGATAGCGTTTTCCTTTTCCTCAATTTACTTTAGAGAGATGTTTCTTCTCCGAACGGACAAGTCTTAGAATCATACACCAACAGAGAACCAGAGATGAGCGAAGTCTGCCCATCCATTCCAACGATGCAGTGGGTGCATCACAGCCAAGTATGAGGTACTGAAAGCTGTCAGTTACTTCAGTAACTTAAATTAGAATAGCAGATGAACAGTTGCGTAATTACGCATGAACCTGTAGGTCTATTGAGTCACTTGATTTACTATCTGTTCCAGTGACTTCAAGTGCCCTGAACTAGGCACCGCAGCTTCGAAGTATCATTTGACTTGAGTCATACTTGTGACGGTAATTGCGGAAGTCGAGTCACTTAAGACCATGACAGATGATACCTGCGAAAGCTGTACAAGTAGGAATGACGTCTCTACCTAGAACTAGGGCACCTACATTGTAAGGTACATGTAGCGCCCATGGACCTAAATCTACCTTACTCGATATCAAGGGCGCCGCAATCATGGAAATTGTAAGCTTCGTCAAGTAGCCATTCCGGCCTCAGGCCATTGTAGATCATGGATCTCCATGGTGGGGATCCAAGAAGGGAGCTATTTTACCTTAAGCGGTTTAGCCGCTTCTTGTCATTCGTCCTCATCATCATCCCCAAGTCATCTCCATTTGCTCATCTTCTTCATCATTCCCATCCTTTCTTTTGTCAGATTGCATCATTTGCATCATTGTTATCACAAGCACTCATCTACTTACTCTGTCCCTAACAATAAAGGTAATTGTGTCCACGGGCGTGCTACTGTTGTTACCTAAGTGTACCTAAGAGTACCCAAGCAAGTACCCCAGCTCCATTGCCTCCTCCTTATCGCTGCATCATCTGCCTTGATTGGCCCTGATCGTCTCCCATCCCGATGCCGCCCTTCTGACCGCCTTACCTAAGACCTTCCCCCCAGTCACATTACTTGACTTTTGCCTGAGGTTATCTCCGAGAATCTGTTATCGCTGGGTCACGCTCCTCCTACGCCTACTACTGCCTGCCTGAACTGTCTACTCTTCCCTCCCCATAGTTGACAGCCGTTACGTTCCTCGGATCAAGCTGCTTCCCACCTATCTCTCTACTAGCCGATCTCGCAGCCTATTTATTGCCTTTGACTTGGACGCCTCTGGCTCTTTCATGACTACTCATCAGCTCTGGTGTGCGTAACTCTTTTGCGTACCTTGGAGCTGTCCTTATCAAACCACCATTGTCCTTTTGCCGCCTATCCACTGTGCAGCTCTTCTTGCGCCCTCACCGCTTTGTTACCTCTGCATCTTTGGTTTCAACTGTCTCGATCCAGAACGCGGCGATAACTTGATTATTATAAAGAGACTTTCGGTTTTGTACGGTCCAGGTCTCTGATCTCAAACGACCGGCTCAGCCTTTTCCGCCACAGTTTCACGGCTCCTAGCTCACCCTCCTGTTTCTTCCTTCCATACTTGTCTCCCGACAGTTCCATCTTTACCTATTCACTTCAGCCTTCCCGGTTCACTGGCAGATTAGACCTCACCTATTACTCCCCTGATGGGCCCCCATCATCCGTCGACGTTACTGCTGCTGCTGAGGTAGTCGTGTAGTTGACGGGACGTGTTTGGTTGCTGCAGACTATGACATCTACTCACCACTCGAGGAGGTCGAGGGAGACCCCTCAACCCGAGATGTCTATCGGTCGCTACACAAGGCTGGATGAGATCGGCCGAGGGAGCTTTGCTACAGTTTACCAGGGTGTTCATACTGTGAGTTCTGCTGGATTCAGCCTTATCCACTCACTACCTTTCGTCTTCCTCTTGGTGATGATAATGCCTTCTTGATTCATCGGCATGTCTTGCTGATCTGTTTGGAAAATCTATTAGAAAACACGCACGTATGTCGCCATAAAGTCGGTCAACCTCTCGAAATTGAATAAGAAGTTGAAAGACAACTTGTCTTCTGAAATTCATATCCTCAAAGGCCTCTACCATCCACACATCGTTGCACTAATCGATTGCCATGAAACCACCTCCCACATTCATCTAGTGATGGAATACTGCGCTCTGGGCGACCTGTCCCTATTCATTAAGCGTCGAGATACTCTTGGAGATCATAGGTACACACGGGATATGATCGCCAAATATCCGAATCCTCCCGGTGGCGCCCTCAACGAAGTTGTTGTCCGGCATTTCCTCAAGCAACTGGCGAGCGCCCTGAAGTTTCTTCGCGACCGGAACCTCATTCATCGCGATATCAAGCCACAAAACCTCCTACTTTGTCCTTCGCCCTCGTCCTATCGCAGTGGCGTCACTCAAGTAGTTCCATTCAAAGGCAGCGAAGATTCCTTTAACCCTGCAACCGGGCTCGAGTCACTACCTCTTCTCAAGATTGCGGACTTTGGATTCGCTCGATCACTTCCTGCTACGTCACTGGCGGAAACATTATGTGGTTCGCCCTTGTATATGGCTCCCGAGATCCTCCGGTACGAAAAGTATGACGCCAAAGCTGACCTGTGGTCCGTTGGCACGGTGCTCTACGAGATGGTCGTGGGCAAGCCTCCTTTCAGAGCGACAAATCATGTGGAACTGCTTCGCAAGATCGAGAAAGGAGAGGATAGGATCAAATTTCCCGAGGAGAACCCGGCATCTGATGAAATCAAGGCGCTCATTCGGGCTCTTTTGAAGAGAAATCCCGTTGAGAGATTAAACTTTCCCGACTTCTTTGAAAACGGCGTGATCACAAGTCCTATTCCTGGCTTAGTGGCCGACGATCAGCCATCGATACCCCGGGGCCCCCCTGCTGATCCAGAAACAGCAGAATCAACGCCGAGACCCGATTCTCGATCTGGAGCCATTGTGCCAGGCGGTACGGAGCGCGAAAGAGAGGTTCCATACTTGCCAAAGGGGGATGATGCCCTCACACAGCGGCCGCCTTCTCAAAACCAGAGATTGGGCACTCCCCCGACTTCAACACCTATGCGCCGAATAGGAAGCGGGGACAGGCCTCCATCTACTCCCAAAGAGCCACTGATGGCTTACCCTCAAAGACCTAGTGCTGTCAGTCATGCAACTGCCCCGGGACGACAAGAACTTGTTGATCGCAATGCTACATTTACAGCGATGGAACGACAGAGGGGTCGGAATACTTTTTCTGAAGGTTCTCCGCAGATGGACAGACAGGCGGACAAATTGAGAGAAGAAAGAGAACGCGCAGCACAAGATGTTGCTTTCGAGAGGGATTATGTTGTTGTGGAAAAGCGTGCGGTGGAAGTGAACGCTTTTGCAGACGAGTTGGCGCATAGTCCCCGCATTCAGGGTGGCATTTCAAGAGGTGCGCAGACGGGTGCCTTATCCCGTCGATCAACAGTGCAAGGCCCAACGCCGTTGAACCCATCACCACCTCAAGCTACTGTTGGAAAGGCCATGCAGGTCCTTTCTGGACGTTCCCGTGCTGATTCAATGCACAACCGTCAGAGCTCATATGAGCGCCGATACGGGCAGAGTCCCACCTCTGCAACGTCTGCCATTTCGAAGGCGCTCAATATGGCCAGTGGGCGCTTGTTTGGCATGGGATTTTCTCCACCGCTGGCCATTACGAAGGGGGGACGGTCGCCTCCCCTCGCTTACAATCCATTTCCCGCATATCCCGCGCATGGCAGCTTGATGATTGGAGACGGGGCGAAGAACAATGTGGCTCTGGATGAGGATACAAAGACTGTCCAAATTCTGGAAGAATGTGCCACTCGCAGTGACGTCGTATACGGATTTGCGGAAGTCAAATATAAACAGCTCGTTCCCCTTGCCCCGTCGGTCCAGACCGACCCATCGTCCAAAGGCAATCTGTCCGGAGAGAGGGAGAATCCGGACTCGGCTGATGGAGGTCTCACGGTAGATGCTATTGTGACGTTGTCGGAGGAAGCCTTGGTTCTTTATGTCAAAGCGCTTTCTTTACTGGCGAAATCGATGGACATAGCAGGAGCCTGGTGGGCGCGGAAGAATCGCGGAGATGGTTTTGGGGATTCAGCCATGAGCAGAGCCGATGGGGCGAGTACACTTGCTGGAACCCGCATCAACAATGTTGTTCAGTGGGTGCGGAACCGATTCAACGAAGTGTTAGAGAAGGGAGAATTCGTCCGTCTCAAGCTGGTCGAGGCACAAAAACGGTTGCCGCCCGACCACCCTAGCCATCCCGACAACCACTCGGTTGGCTCTTCGCTGGGCTCAGGTGCTTCCGTAGACGTTGTTGTGAGCCCCGGCGTCTCCGCAGAGAAACTTATGTATGATCGTGCGCTGGAAATGAGTCGCACGGCGGCCATTAACGAGCTCACTGGCGAGGATCTTTCTGGGTGCGAAATAGCGTACGTGACGGCCATTCGAATGCTGGAAGCTGTACTGGAGAATGGCGAAGTACCGCGATTTGGGCAAGACAAAGACGACACGTCCAAGGATAGTGACAAAATTGTACTTGATGCGGTACAGGCTGAAGAACGGCAAGTTGTGATAAAGCGTGAGTCGCTCCCCGCCGAGCAGGAAACCAACTAGTGCTGACGATCCATGCAGTTGTCTCCAGCATCCGGAGTCGGCTGGCAGCTCTTCGCAAGAAGCTGGCGATTCTTGCGAAACGAGCACCGACACCCTCTGCTAATGTTCCCGGCAAGATGGCGCCATCAAATCCGGTCTCCGTGGGTGCAACACCGCCGAAGTAAGCATGGGCCCTCCGTTGAGTATCTCGGTCCATTCCGACTTATTTCTTCTGCTCAGAATGCTCTACATGAAGGCACTCTGACCCTTCAGCTGCATTATGTCTTTGATGCGACATGTGTTCGATGACTGTTCTATCTATTACCTATCGGCTTGCTGCAGGCTTGTCTTCTTCCTTTTCTTGGGCCGTCTTTTCTTATTCATTTCCAATGGGACCCTTGTTTCCAAGCGCATTTGATTATCGGTCGATCGAGGCTCATCTTTACTGCCTCGGTTCGAATCTTTCTTGACTAGTCTATATCCATTTTGCTTTTTTCATTTACAGGCTGAGCCTTCCGGCGTTGAAGTTTTTGACGGATATACACAGATTGTCAGACCACTGGGATGATTCATGGCTGCGAGTAATCGATTTGGGAGTCCAGGGTGCATGATCACGGTATTGATTCGGGGCGTACTAATTATTACCAGTCCGACGAACTTTACATTTCTGTACATAAAGAATCAGACGAAAATTACCTATCTTCCTACTGGGGTTGATTATTAATTCAAGCATTGATTTCGGTGCTCTTTGTCTTGTATGAGCGGCGGACGGAACGTTGAACAATTGGTGGTTTAGTTGCAGTTGGTGTGAAGCTACGTACTGCCAGTCTAGACGGGACTGGCGCCAAAAATGCTCACAGCACTAGGTGATTAACCCCAGCTGGCGAGCTTCGAGAAGTGACGAAAATTGCGTGATCGATTTCTATGTGTCATGGCCACTGCCTTCTACGGATTCAACGAGCTGCTGAGCGTGCTCTTGGTGGAGACTCCCAAGCCTCCTGGTTCCGCTGCGCCCAGGAAATTTTTTCTTTTTTTTTTTTTTTTTTCCCGGC